CAAACCCCTACAACGTAGTTTTGGACTCAGCTGGGATGTAAACACTGACAACTTCTTATTTCAATTATCTTCAGAAAATAAACCGATCAATCGGAGAGAAATTTTTATCAACGATAAACAGCATCTACGATCCTCTTTGATTTTTAGCTCCTGTGATGTTACAAGGAAAGCTCCTACTAAGGAAGATAGTATCAGAAACCTTCGATTGGGACCAACCTCTCTCTGATGAGACAGCAGTTGAATGGAAATCTTGGAGAGATACTTTAATAGCTATTGAAACATTGCGCATTCCAAGTACCTACTACCGTATCTCAGCAAAACCGTCACAAAGGAGTTACATGTCTTCTCTGATGCGTCAGAAAAAGCCATAGCAGCGGTTGCTTATCTACGCACGACCGACAGTGGTGGTGAACCAAACATGGGGTTCATTCCTGAGAAAGAAAAAGTTGCACCTATAAGTGGTCACACTATTCCTCGACTTGAACTATCTGCTGCCGTATTAGCAGTTGAGATCACACAAACCATCGTGGATAATTTAGATTTACACATAGACACCGTGAAATTCTACACAGACAGTAAAGTGGTCTTAGGTTACATCAGTAACGAGACAAGAAGGTTCTTTATCTACGTCGCCAATAGAGTAGAGAAAATAAGGAAATTTAGCTCTCCAAGTCAATGGAATTATGTACCAACGAACCGTAATCCCGCAGATTTGGGAACAAGGTCCGTACCAGCCCACGCAATTCATAGTAGTGAGTGGTTATTGGGACCGAAACAACTTCTTTCCTCAGAACAGGAGAATTCCGAGGACATTTATCAACTAATAGATCCAGAGGAAGACGGAGAAATCCGTGCAACTGTTAATGTTGCAAAGACCTTTGCCACAACAGAGCGTAAAGGTATCGGAACTGAAAGATTCAACCGATTCTCCAACTGGACATCACTTGTGAGAGCGATAGCCTTTTTGGAACGTTTCTCCCGTTTACACGGATCAAAACAGGCAGCACCAGTAACTTCTCTGGAAAGATTTTCGAACGCCGAAAATTTCATCTTAATATCTGCACAACATGAAGTTTACGGCGATGAAATAGATCGCATTATACGTCAGGAACAAATTCATAAGCGGAGCCCGATAGCTAACCTCAATCCGTTTTTGGACGAACGAGGACTATTACGAGTAGGAGGCCGTATTGTCAAATCTGACTTAAACCTCCGTGAAAAGAAACCATTGATCGTCTCTGGACGCCATCATATAGCGACATTATTAGTCCGACACTACCATGACAAGGTAAAACATCAAGGACGCCACTTCACAGACGGAGCGATTCGATTAGCAGGATTCTGGATCGTCGGAGCAAAACGCTTGATATCATCTACTATTCACAAATGTGTGATATGCCGCAAACTAAGAGGAAAAACCGAGTGTCAAATCATGTCCGATTTGCCGGAGGACCGTCTTGAACCGTCACCTCCGTTTACCAACGTTGGAATAGACACCTTTGGACCCTGGACAATTGTTTCACGTAAAACACGTGGTGGATACGCCAACTCAAAACGTTGGGCAATTCTTTTCACATGCTTAGTGACAAGAGCTGTTCATATCGAACTAATCGAGGAAATGAGCTCTTCAGCCTTCATAAACGCCGTCAGAAGATTCGCCGCTATAAGAGGTCAAGTTAAGATTTTCCGATCTGACCGTGGAACAAACTTTATTGGTGCAATCGACGATTTAGAGATTGACTCAATCAACGTCGAAGATGGACCCTTCAAGAACTTTCTGTACAATTCTGGTACAACTTGGATCTTCAATCCGCCACATTCGTCCCACATGGGTGGAGCCTGGGAAAGAATGATTGGTATCGCAAGGAGAATTCTTGATTCTATGCTTCTAAACGCAGCAGGAAGAAGCCTAACGCACGACGTGCTCAACACACTAATGCCAGAAGTTTCAGCAAAAGTGAACTCTAGACCTCTGGTACCGGTATCGACAGATCCAGAGAATCCGTTAATCTTAACGCCAGCTATGTTATTGACACAAAAGACCGATTACATCTTCACTTCAGATCAGCTTGGAGAATTCGACAAACAGGATCTATGTCTAGCCGAATGGAGACGTGTACAGGTTCTGGCCGTTTGAGGAAAGAGTACCTGCCGTTACTACAACCACGACGAAAATGGACCGAAGATCGACGTGATGTCATCAAAGGAGACGTCATTCTCCTAAAGGACAAAAACCTTTGCCGTACTCAATGGCCCATAGGCGTTATAGTAAATTCATTTAAGAGTTCCGACGAACATGTCCGGAAAGCAGAAGTACGAATAATCGTAAATGGAAAAGCCACCATCGACACACGCCCAATCGTGGACATGATTCTTCTCATAGAGAACAATTATATAGTTTTTGTTAATAGTGATACTATGCACTTTTACAGTGAAATATTCAAGTGTGTTATATATTCGGAATAGTGATATCAGTTAGACATCAGACGGGGAGTATTCTGTTTCACATTCAATGTTTACTATATGTATTCATAATCATCCGGAACAAATCGCACTGGACCGATTTCTTACATCACCGTACGTATTGACTGCCTTTAATTTCTGTCACACCGTCTGCTTCAATATTTCAACACATGTAACATGGACGACATTTAATTTTCTGAGGAAATCGAGACATATCACTGTCACTGTATATACGTTTTATTCATTTATAAACTGTGATAATTTAATCTGTTTAAGTCCGTTAATTTGGATAAGTGATTTATTAAATGCATACGAACTGTAAGTTATTTATAATCGAGATTGGAACTGTAAATTCTACTTTCGTTTTCATTTTTTTGTTTTAAATATTTGCATATGAACTTTATTATGTTCTTTCATACACATTGTAAGTATTTCTTTTTGTTTTAATGCAAGTTACCACAAACAATCTACTGACTACTTGTAAACCTTTCCTGTGGAATATTATAATTACAATTTTCGAAACAAGTTGTGTTCTTTATATATTTGCCGAGATTGCGATACAGTCACCTGGTTAAGCTAGCTGAGTCAGGCTCAGCATAATAACATATATCTACCTAATCAAACACAATGATAACATATATCTACCTAATCAAACACAATGATAACATATATCTACCTAATCAAACACAATGATAACATATATCTACCTAATCAAACACAATGATAACATATATCTACCTAATCAAACACAATGATAACATATATCTACTTAATCAAACACAATGAAAACACATTTCTACCATATAAAACACAATGTAAACATATTTCTACCATATCAAACACAATGACAACATATATCTATCGTATCAAACACAATGACAACATATATCTATCATATCAAACACAATGACAACATATATCTATCATATTAAACACAATTAAAACATATATCTACCATATATCAAACACAATATAACTACCTCGGTGGTCTCGTGGTAGCATGTTCGACTCGAGGGCGGGAGTCGTGTGGTCGAACCCCGGCCTGGTTAAACTAAGGACTGTAAATTTGGTATTTGCTGCTTCTCCGCTTAGCTCGTGCCATAATGGCCATCAAACACAATAACAATATACCATATCAAACAATGTCAACCAATATCTACCAATCAAACAATGTCAACCAATATCTACCATATCAAACACAACGCAACAAATATCTATTTAATATTTCTAAATAATCATTTTATAATATCATCGAAAAAGACAAAGTTAAGTTGGCTTTGGTATATAATCATATATGATTCCGTAATCTCAACTCATTCTCTTAAGTAGCCATTTCATTTTTGGAATGATTCTGTATCAGAGCAACTTTATGGTTATGACCGATCTACGAAACCATATTAGATCGTGACTTAAAAATCATTGTCAACTTTTATTATTATCAACTACTCTTTCTACTACATGTTCTAACAACATAATTTACTAATTCTATATGTCCATTGTCATAAGCACACCTTAAAGGTGACATACCATTATTGTTACATTTATTATAATCGGCTCCTCTGTCTTATAACATCTTCACGATTTCTGTGTGTCCTCAATCACAAGCACGCATTACAGGAGACCAACCATCTTTGTCACTTTTATCATAATCTACTCCTATGTCTAACAAAATCGTTACTATTTCTGTGTGTCCCCTATCGCAAGCAAATATTACAGGTGACCAACCATCCTTGTCACTTTTATTATAATCTACTCCTCTGTCTATTAAAATCTTTATTATTTCCTTATGTCCATTGTCACAAGCACATATTAATGGTGATACACCATCTTTATCAGATTTATTTAAATCTGCTCCTTTGTCTAACAACATCTGTACTATTTCTGTATGTCCTTTATTACAAGGAAACATTATAGGTGAATAACCATCATTTGTACATTTATTATAATCTACTCCTCTGTCTAACAACATTTGTACTATTTCCTTATATCCTTTGTCACAGGCGAGCACTACAGGTGACCAACCATTATTGTCATCTTTTTGATAATCTACATCTCTGTCTAACATTATTGATACTATTTCTGAGTGACCTTTATCGCAAGCAAACATTACAGGTGACCAACCATCATTGTCATCTATTTTATAATCAACTCCTCTGTCTAACAACATTTTTACTATTTCTGTATGTCCTTTATCACAGGCCAATATTACAGGAGTGTAACCATCATCATTGCATTTATTATATTCTGCTCCTCTGTCAATTAAAATCTGTAATATATCTAAGTGTCCTTTAACACAAGCAATTATTACTACCATCTTTGGTACATATGTCATAACTTGCACCTTTATCTAACAAAATCTTAACTATTTCGGTATGTCCTGTATCACAAGCAAACATTATAGGTGACCAACTATTTTTATCAGATGTTTTATAACTTGCACCTTTGTCTAACAACATTCTTACTATTTCTGTATGTCCATTAATACATGCAGACATCAGAGGTGACAAACCATTGATGTTACATTTATTATGGTCTACTCATCTGTCTAGCATAATCTTTACTATGACTGTATGTCCTTTTTCACAAGCAAACATTACAGGTGACCAACCTTTTTTGTCACATGTGTCATTATTTGCACCTTTGTCTAACAAAATCTTGACTATATTTGTATGTCCCATTTTACAAGCAGACATTATAGGTGACCAACCATCTTTGTCAGATGTGTCATAACTTGCACCTTTCTCTAACAAAATCTTTACTATATGTGTATGTCCTTTGTTACAATCACACAATATAGGTGACCTACCATCTTTGTCACATATGTCATAACTTGCACCTCTGTCTAACAACATTCTTACTATTTCCGTATGTCCATTATTACTAGCAAACATTACAGGTGACCAACCATCGGTGTTACATTTATTATAATCTACTTGTCTTTCTAACAACATATTTACTATTTCTGTATGTCCATTTCTACAGGCAAACATTAAAGGTGACCAACCATCTTTGTTACAGTTAATATAATCAACTCGTCTTTCCAACAACAATGTTACTATTTCTGTATGTCCATAACTACATGCAGACATAAAAGGGGACCAACCTTCTTTGTCAACTGTGTCATATCTTGCTCCTTTGTCTAACAACATCCTAAATATTTCTGTATGTCCATTGCTACAAGCACACATTAGAGGCGACCGCCAATCATTATTACATTTATTAAAATCTACTTCTTTGTCTAATAGCATTTTTACTATTTTTGTATGTCCCTTGTTACAAGCAGACATTAAAGTTGACCAACCGTATTTGTTAGATGTGTCATAACTTGCTCCTTTGTCTAACAACATTTTCACTATTTCGTTATGTCCATTTCTACAAGCATGCATTACAGGCGATTGCAAATCATTGTTACATTTATTATAATCTACTCCTCTATTTAACAGCATTTTTACTATTTCTGTATGTCCTTTTTTACAAGCAGACATTAAAGGTGACGAACCATCTTTGTGAAATGTGTCATATCGCGCTCCTTTGTCTAACAACCATTTTACGATTTCTCTATGTCCATTTCGACAAGCACATGTTAAAGGTGATCGCAAATCATTGTAACATTTATCATAATCAACTCCCAAATCTAACAGCATTTTAACTATTTCTCTATGTCCCATTTTACAAGCAGACATTATAGGTGACCAACCATCTTTGTCAGATGTGTCATAACTTGCACCTTTTTCTAACAAAATCTTAACTATATGTGTATGTCCTTTGTTACAAGCACTCAGTATAGGAGACCTACCATCTTTGTCACGTGTGTCATATCTTGCACCTCTGTCTAACAACATCTTTACTATTTCTGTATGTCCATTAAAACAAGCAAACATTACAGGTGGCCAACCATCGTTGTTACATTTATTATAATCTACTCCTCTGTCTAACAACATTCTTACTATTTCTGTATGTCCATTATAACAAGCAAACATTACAGGTGACCAACCATCGTTGTTACATTTATTATAATCTACTTGTCTTTCTAACAACATTCTTACTATATCGGTATGTCCATTACAACAAGCTGACATTACTGTTGACCTACCATCTTTGTCACATGAGTCATATCTTGCACCTCTGTCTAACAACATCCTGACTATTTCTTTATGCCCATTATAACATGCTAACATTACAGGTGGACAACCATCGTTGTTACATTTATTATAATCTTCTCCTCTGTGTCACAACATGTTTACTATTTCTGTGTGTCCATTACTACATGTTGACATTACAGGTGACCAACCATCTTTGTCAACTGTGTCATATCGCGCTCCTTTGTCTAACAACCATTTTACTATTTCTCTATGTCCATTTCTACAAGCTAACATTACAGGCGACCGTAAATAATTGTCACATCTATTATAATCTACTCCTCTTTCTAACAGCATTCCTACTATTTCTGAATGTCCTACGTTACAAGCAGACATTAAAGGCGACCAACCATCTTCGTCACATGTGTCATAACACGCTCCTTTGTCTATCAAGATCTTTACTATATGTGTATGTCCATTTATACAAGCACACATTACAGGTGACTGCAAAGCATTGTTACATATATCATAATTAACTCCCAAATCTAACAACATATTTACTATTTCTGCATGTCCTTTGGTACAAGCTAACATAAGTGGTGACCAACCATTTTTATCAAATGTGTCATAACTAACACCTTTGTCTAACAACAACTTTATTATTTCTGTATGTCCACCGTCGAAAGCAAACATTACAGGTGACCAACCATCTTTATCGAATGTGTCATAACTTGCACCTTTGTCTAACAACAATGTTACTATGTTTGTATGTCCTTTGTAACAAGCCATCATTACAGGTGACACACCATCGTTGTTACATGTGTCATAATTTGCACCTTTGTCTAACAAAATCTTTACTGTTTCTGTATGTCCATTATAACAAGCATACATAACAGGTGACCAACCATCTCTGTTCCGTTTAGTATAATCTACTTGTCTCTCTAACAACATCTTTACTATTTCGGTATGACCTTTACTCGCCGCCACTAACAATGGAGTTGAATCATAATAATTACATTGATTAATATCAACACAATGTTTCAAAGACCACTGAATGATAGGAATATCACCATATAAGCAAGACATTATCAGCGGAGTATTAATGTTATCTACGTCACAGGTACATGCCAATTGTCTCTGGTAACATATATCTAGTTGATGCAAATGAGATAAAATTCTCTGCCGAAACTGTCTAATGTAAATATTTATATTCATAAAGATACAATTGACTTTACCTTCCGACCAATCCTCTATCATTCTTTCTATGTACATTCGGTGATTAATAAAGCGGTACAATTGTAATAAACTGATCCATATCATTTTGTTTTTCTAATAAAAATCTTTCCATGATCAAACCACTGTGTGCATTCTTAATTAAGCACTGAATTATTTTCTGTCCAAAATGAAATGTTAGAAAGTCAAATATTTTATCATGTATAGTTTTGTATTCATTGTCTTCCTTCTTTATGAATGTATCAATAAGTGAATCAAGTTCATCTTTGAGAATAAGTCTTGATGTTCCTCTTTCTAGTCTACATGCCTCACATGTATACTCAAAGATGGTTCTTGTTTTGATATCCACTTCTTCTGTCAACAATTCTTCCTTCAGGCTGTTGTTAAACACGACACATAGAGCTAAGGCACAATGTTTAGCATGATACCCTTTCTTTTGTAGATGTCTGCCTCATAAACTGAAAATGGATCCTGGAAAAAATCTGTAATATTGACACTAGGATTATCATGAAACAGCTTACATAAAAGTGGAAAACAATCATAAAAATCATAAAAGTCAGTTCTGTGACAAACATAAATTCTCGGAAAGAAGGTTTTAGACACATGATTTCAATATAGATAACGATTCAAACGTGTCATCCTGGTACACCTGTAACCGACATGCAACAACGATTTTTGCCACTTTTTGTTTAAGTATTCCCTTTAAACGTTCTATAACAATTTTCCAAACTCTCATGTCAGAATTATTTAAAGAATAGTTTCCACATAAATCATCAATAACGAACAAGGTTTTTTGATTTGGATTGTAAAACTTGACAATGTCACCTGGATCTGTTACCAGCAGAACATCACATCCTTCATCCGCCATCTGTAAAGCAATATGTCGGAGTGTGGTCGTCTTCCCTACACCAGAACTAGTAATAATCGTTTCACAGCTGTTCTCCTTTATACATTTCAGTACATGCTTTGCAGCTCAGGTGTTTATAAACACCTGATCATTGATCTTCCATTCTTCAAGAATCTGGTTGATTTGTACTGAAAAAAAATAGAAGACTTGTACATTTATTAGAAACTTAGGTTTCAACTGCCTCAGTCAAAGTTGACTTTATATATTCTTTTATGTCGTTTTTGGTCACATAGGTCTGACAATGTTTCGGTTATTGCACATTCGTAGCTTTCAAATATTCGTCCTTGAGCTTACCTGATGACTGTAATCCAGAAAAGTGCTGCAGACGCACGGAAGCTATAAAGTGCTGTTTTTATATTTTATTCGGTGTTAAAGTTGGACATTTCTATGACTTATATTATGTATAATGTTTCCTTGTGTTGCTGAGGATATTATCTATCTGACGTTTTCTTAAACAAATTTAATGGTAAATGCTACCCAAGAAGATATATGTCAATTCGTCAGAATTATCCTGCTGAGACAATTATTATTTGATATGAATCATTTCCAGCATAAGGATGAACACAACGAGTGAAACAATGATTTGTAAAACTACAAACCCTCGTGACGTTTTATCACTACAGATACAAAATACATCACGGATTCCTTGTTTTGAAACAGAAGTTTAGATTACAGATTCAGAGAATTGGAACAGGTTTTAGTATTGGTAAATCCATGTTCTAGTATATGATTTTTGGATTTAACACAATATCTAAGGAAATTCTTTTTCGGCGCTAAGATCTTGTTATAGTATGAGGGTAAGTCAGTGGATCTTATATATATTTCACTCAGAAACGTGTTCATCCCCTCAAATGTGTCCGATTCCCCAAAACTTGTTCAGATGACGTCACTGAACTGCAAAACATATCGATATGCAAAGAATGCCAAAATGTGTCCTTATTATGAAAGCCCAATCGTGTCCAATTTTTAAAAACGTCGAAATGTGTCCGATCCCCCAAACGTGTCCATAGGAAGCTAAAACGTCATCCATAAAAACTTAGAAAGCCTGTCGTGCAAAATAGGCATCACCCGACTATATTAGTACAAAAATAATTCACTAAGTAAACGATGAACTAAACTGTACAAAAAAAAGGTAATCGCAATTTTGATGTTTACTCTATATGCATGAATGCATGAAATACTTGCCATTGGACATAAATCAATCAACAGTCAATAGTTAATTTATGTTTTGCAAATTAAGCTTGCAAATATGCCTGATATAAACAACGGCGTTGAACAAACTAATGCTAATAGATGACCACTTTATAAATAGTGACGCACTGGGACAACTTGCAAGATAAAATGTATTAGATTTCTTAATTCTGAAGTACTCCCAATGATAATCATATTCATAAAAAAGTTAATTAAACCGCTTCAAGCAAAAATAAAACTTTTATTGTGAATTCTTTTTCTTATCTGGTGTCTGTATATTTGAAAGCAGAAGTCACTACATAGTGTACCATATCTTGAACATTTGTCTATACGGCTCACTTCCTTCAGATGTCCTTGGACAGCAACTTCGATCTTTTTCTTAGAATCCAAACGAAACTCGATGTCTTCAATCGTGTTCCCTTTCATATTCTTAGCATAAACGTTGTTGAAATCATTGAGAACAAATTAGCGCTAAGAGTTTTGAGACGTTTTGGCGTTTTAAACTGGCGATTTCGAATTTTTAGGACACTTTTGGGCGAAATAGACACGTTTTGGAAAATCGGACACGTTTAGGGGGATTAACACGTTTGGGAGTGTTACATATCTAATCAAGCAATCTTTAATGTAGACAGTATAATGTCACAGAAAAGCAGCTTAAGACGGATACGAATTTGTCATAAGTAGAAACAAAACTATGTCAATATAAAAATCAGGAGATATGGCATGATTCCCAATGAGACAAGTGTCCACCAAAGTTCAAACGAAGTGGATGGTAATACACAAAACTGAAATTAAAAAAAAAAATAATGTAAAAATATAAACTAAGAATAGACAGCTCTGTCACGGGCAAACAACCAATACTGTAGAGGAATATACATACATTACAAGCACGGGGACACATTCAAAAGCATCCACACAGCAAGAGCAACAAATCAATATAAAAATAAAGAGATGTGATATGATTGCCAATGAGACAAATCAGACTTTTTTTTAACATAAATACATGCGTTGTCGTGCTAGGCATATCCCAATCGTAATTCAAAGTATCGGAAACAAATTTCTGACAGATCTGAAAGCGCTCACACTTTATAACGCATCACTATTGAGCGGCTGACCTTATATGAAATCAAGAAGGTACGTATTATCTTAGGTATGGTTTGGTTTTTATTTCACTGGTTGCTATGTTTAATATGTCTTTGATTCGTGTATATCAAGTACTGGAATCCAAATTTCATGGGTAGGACTAAGGTAACTCGTAGATGCAGTCACCTAAAGGAAGTGTTTTTCATCCAAGCAAAATTGGCTAGTTGATCCTCTAACATACCAAGTCATCAACACTGACCTTCTGGGTTAAATATCTAATATACTAAGGTATTAACGACGGCCTCTCAGTGCTTATTTCTAGCATACGAAGGTATCAATAATCAACTAAATGTAAATACTTCCATTAGTTATTGTTGACATCCAACAGTATCTCCATTGAATTTCAAGCAATTGATGGGCCTCTAACTTTCTCAGTTTTCAACCATAACCTCCCGATCAATCTGAAACATTTAAATGAAAGAACCACGACCAAAAAACTAGTACTAGCAATCATCTTTATATTTCACAGTATCTATCTTGCAGTGTTTCCCTCTTATATATTCAAAGGTATCAAAATGATCGTATTACCTCACTCTTCTACCATTCCAAGATATAAACCTAACATACTAGTGTGATACATTTACTTTTCATGGTATTAAGCATGAACTTACAATATTTGTCCTTTAAGGTCTCAACCATGGTTCCCACAGTGAATATTTAGACTTAAGTGATACTATTGTCTTAATTAATACAGTTTTGTAGTTTGATTTAGTAAGGAAAAAGCAATTTCATCCTTAAATAAATAAAAAAAGATTTACCTCTAACATTCCAGGGTACTGTATCTTCATTTGACCTTATCAAGCTCTCAACTGACAGTTTCAATTCCCTAATTTCATCATTTGAGTGTTTGATGTCAAGCATTATCTGTTGGTTCGTTTGGTCTAGAGTTTTTGTTCTCAAATTATCACATTCCGTCTTCATATGCTGCCAACCTAATCTGCCGATTGCCTACAAATTTACACATGAAATGAAAAAGGTTTTCATAAAATCATATACATATTTGGTTACTTGATATTATATTTAAAAAGATTTGCTTTTAAACAAATTAGACCCATACAACATACTAGGTATCCCTGTATTATGCATAGTCTTTCTCCTACATTTCATGAGACCAATGTAACTTGACAGTTGAGCTCTCTTTGTGAGTCCGAAATGCCATAAGGGCACATAGAATTACTTTGATATTCCCTTGACTATGTTTTTGACCATAGCTTTGAAATCGTCTTACAGTTTTTCAACTGAAACATCAATAAAGTTAAAAAAAAAAAAAAGCACTGCATACATTTTGTGCGTGCGAAGCGCTTTTCTGTATTTACTTACATCAGGAAAGCTCACACGTAAACATTTTAAAGCCAGGGATGTATGAATACGTAGACAAGGTAGGAGCTGTATGACCACATGGGTTCTAATAAAAAAATCCAAATCAATCTTAGTCTAACTTTGCTTAAGAGAGTTGGTTTTTAGTTGCAACTTAACA